ATTGAAACCGACAGTAATTATTGATAGCATTAGATGGTACAGGTCCTCTCTGAAATTGCGCTATTATTTGCGTTAGATACTATAATAGAAATAGGTATATTTCTGTCAAGTAATCGGGCAATTTAATTATAAACCTGTGTGCTATTAAAAAAAGGTATGCTGGTTGCTATAAGATGTGTACTCGATGTAAATTGAAGATACATATACAGAATGTGACGGTGACTATGTTATTATATTGATGCGTGCTAACGTCGTGCGCGCCGCTGGCCGAGTAGTTGACGTCTTATGAACGTTCGCGATGACGATGTGTTCAATCCGCCGTGTGCTAGTGCTGGGACACACTAGTAGGCGTCAACAAAGAGTATTATCCAACTTTTTGCCGATACCAGTAACGTAATGAAATATGCCTTTACCGTGCTATTAATAAACAAGATTTAGTGTCAGAGTAAATATACGCTATAATTGCAATTTCAATATTAGTTGAAATTCATATTATATAGAGAATAAGCAAACCTATTACCTTGAAGGAGTAAATATTACACCAGTAGAACTTTGTAAAAGGTCAACTAGTGTAATACTAAGTGCAGTCTCAGCGTAACTTTACTCTAACAATAAAACTTCAAACTTGTTTATTAATAAGTAATACACTGTTACAGTTTTCACTCGTAGTATCATTATCACAAACGTCGTTATAGCGTCATATCAGATTTATTATTGTAAAAAAATTTACTTTTGTACGCGACTTTGTCCGCGTGGTCTAATTTTAAGTCCAGAAATGAGAAAATTCCATAAAATTTTTCATCCCCTAATTTACCTCCTTAGGGGTCAAATTTCGTAAAATCCCATCTTAATGAGCATCTACGTCCTAAAAAGAACCTGCATGCAAAATTTGCAATTGCTAGCACTTGTAGCAACGAATTTTTATACAAACTTTTATCCCCTAATTTAACCCATTCGGGATGGAATATTTAAAAATCCTCTCTTAGTGCTCTTCTACACTCCCTAAGGAATCTTCATTCCAAATTTCAACTTTCTAGCTCAGTAGTTTCGGCAGTACGTTGTCAGTCAGTCAGTCAGTAACGCAATTATTATATACATAAATGTAGATTTGTAAATGAATAAAGATTGTTCTAGTTCATAAAAAATAGCAAGTTGAATTTTTCACAACAGTTTGTGCTAGTGTTGATTGTTGAAAAATATTATCACAATTTTTTCAATGTTTTACGGAATCATGAACATAGGGCGATATATCGAGTTAAAATGTCACATGACGTCACGCTTTTGTACAGTTTCTACAAAACTGTGACGTAGCGAGCCCCCACTCCTCAACTTTAATGCTTGCTAAATGCTTCTATCTATGCTATTTCTTGTTAAGTTGAAGTAAAAGAAATATTCATATCTAATATTTTTCAATTATCTGACTGACGGACTAAACTTCTTTTTTTTACCCAGTCCCTATCCCTATTACTTTGATTTGTAATATGTCCTACACCCTCGTACCAAAGAATATATACATTAACGTGCACTCATGCGTGTACGACCAAAGTGACATTCATAACTCTCGCAACTGGTACTGCAACTGTATCATTGTTTATAGATTAACTTCAGCATTTCATTACAAAGCGATAACATTTAATTAAATAAATAGGGTAAAAAAATTGTGTTGCGGGTAAATAAAACAGATTTTATTCATGACAACAGCAGCTGGCTTTGCAATTACTTTTACTGTTTTAATAGATAAGCGACAAAATTACGTTAGTAATCATATTTCTATATAGTATTTTTACTTATAAAATATAAAAATACGTTTCGATCAATCGTCGAGTCTGCGAACTTCTCTATTTTACTTCTCAGTCTGACACATTTTAATCTCGCTACTGATGATTCGTTGCTCAACCATATTTTCAAATCTTCACTTAATCGCGTTGTTAAACATGGTCAGGTGCCTGCGCCAGGCTTCTCCAGACATGATTTGGCTAATCTTTATGGTCTATAAAGTTAAACCCCTGAAAATTTAAGCCGAGGATGGTTTGCATAATGAATTTCGTGCGATTAGTAGTTGGGGTGCTGATGAGAGATGCAATTGAAATTGACTGATCTCCTATATGCAATGTTGCCGCATTTAATGAAATAGTTACTCGATTTAATGCCGCGATCCTCAAGTGTTTTGACCATCATGCTCCAATCAAGTCTGTCTATTTGGAACAGCCTCCCGCACCATGGGTTCACCCCTTTTGTGCGCATTTTGATGCGTAAATGTAACAAAACGTTCCGTTTATTAAAGGTGTTGTACTTATACTAACTGGGAGGCATTTAGACATGCTAGAAAAAGGTGTAACCAGGTGATAAAAAGAGCCAAAGGCCATTACATCCACCAAAACATAATAAAATCTTCCCCAGTGGAAATGTGGAAGTTCCTGAATTCTCTGGGTATAGGAAAATCCCGCGATCAGCCTTCTTACCCTTTTGCTTTAATCGATTCAACCATTTCTCTTCGGTTAATACTCTCCCTGTCAACGTTAAGTTCATCAGTATATCTCTTCTCTCGGTCTAAAATTAACTGTGTCAGTTTTACTTGATTTTTAACGCTTTTAACACAGTCCATTACGATGTCTTCCTTACTCTACTCTCTCAGTTTGGCTACTATTCATCCGTGCTCGCATGGTCCTCCTTTTATTTTCATGGATGCCAGCAGGCAGTACTAGTTGGTAATTTAGTTACTTATTTGCTGGGGGATCCTCAAGGCGGTATGCTCTCTTCTCATCTAAATTTTTATCAACCTGCTCACCTCTATTCTTACAACCTCTTATCACCGGTACGCTGATGACCTGCAGATATACGTTTAGGATGACATTCACAACATGAATAAGGCAATATGTTTACTGACCCAAAATCTTTCGCGGATATTTGAATGGTCACAAGCTGAACACAATTCCAGCTATTGCTTTTGCTGCCTCGGTGATACCTTATATGATCATATTTATATGACCATATATAAGATCATATTAATATGACCATATCTCCAATTTTTTTTGAACATCTTGAGTGGCTTCCTATTCGGGAGCGAAGATACTTAGGGATTGATGCACATTTTCAAGATAATTTTCGATCCACGAGCACCTGAGTATTTGGAATCATAGTTTGAAATCCTCGGCGCGTCTCACCAGGAACATTTTCGTTTCAGTAGAAGAATGGTACTCCAAACTCCTTCTCACCATTTTAGATTAGTATCTCATTTCTTTACTCTAACACCATCCATCCGTCCGAAGTGCTCCTAACAAATTTGTATTCAGGACAGTAGCTTGCAACTTTTACCATGCTTTGAACATAATTTCTTAATCTGACACCAAACTCTGTTTCGTACTTTATATGTTTTTTTTTACATATGCATTTATTTATCTACGTGTATACAATGTATGATAACGCACATCCAGAAAGTAGTTTGTTCAAAATCAGATACTGATTCGATTTCAACAACTTCTAATATAGATATTTTTTTGCTAAAGTTAATTGGAATCAATTATATTATGGTTATCAGTTACCAAAAACCACTTTGAATCTCAAAACAGAATAATATTTCATCTCAAGAATTTTTATTTGCAGTTGCAGGCTTAGGTACATGTAATTTTGACGTCATTGGGTGGACTTGTAGGATGTCCACACTGTTACCCAGCAATTAGTATAACTTTGTCCAAATATAAACAATGTTTTAGTACATAAAAGTAAAAATCCTTTTTATAGTTATAAATGCATTTTCTAATTGGGGTGTATAAGGATGTGCGTTATTACTGTTACACGTTGTATATATATAATTTTGTATGTATTTAGATATAGTTCTTATGTAGGGGCATCAATAGCATAACGTTTTATAGCGTACTTACGTATTTTTTCCTTTAATAATACGTTTCCTTTCATAAATAGCTGTATTGCGAATGCAACTGAATTATTGCATTTTTTACTTTATTTGTTAATATGTATAAGAATAATAAGTAATTACTCTCTACTCGATGGTTATGTTCGACAAAGAACTGAATACGGTCCTCTCGTTGTGGAGTGTGAAATGGTTTTCAAAAACCTTTAAAAGGCCTTACAGAGGCCAGCAGAATTCAGATTGTGGGTTAACCAACAAATTAAATCGAAATCTTTATTTATGTTTTTCTCTTATCACAAATTGAATTGGTGATCAAAATTATTTTTTCTAATCTAACTCACGGCGTCAAAACCCAAGCCACATTCTCTTATGGGCCCTTTCATTCGTTATGTCATATTACTCGTATTAGTTTTTTCAAGGGTTTCGCTAGAGTATATTATTAGTTTTTTCAAGAGTTTCGCTAGAGTATGCATTAGTGCACGTCACACATTGCACTATTTACCTAATAGTGCAATGTCTTCCTTTCACGTCAATGGTGACAGTAATAGGTGTAATAATATCGTAATTCAGGTAGATAGTACAATGGGAAAATACAAGTTGTTGAAATTTAGAATTCATTAATTCGTGGAGTGTTTATATTATTATGTCAGTTTGACATTTCGCGGGGGACGCGTCATCCGCCAAATATGTACTGAGCCTTATTTAAAATAGGATAATATAACATTAAAATTATAGTTGTACTGAAATTTGATCAGTTACTTTAAATTTCATCCCAATAAATCAATATTAAATTAGTATTTTTCAAGGAAAAAATTGCAAATAAATTATTAAAGTAGCATAAACAAAGTATGCATACAGCAAGTAAGGTCACTACGTAATAACAAACTTCCTCAGTCAATTTTAAGCCTTAATCTGATGAGTTGCTGTTTATATACCAAACACAAGCCTTATCAGTATCATTACTAAAATATTAGTTTTCTTTTATTGTTTTTATTATCATTGAGATTTCTACAATTAAATGCTGTTAGTAATCATCAATCAATCCATTAAGGATTAATGACGCTTTTAAGCTCTAATGAATGTCGAATTTGGGTAAAGTCGAATTAAATTAATGACAATTTTAATGGACGTTTGTGCATTAAGTTATAAATATACATTTCAGTTCATCTTCTCTCCAAATTTATCTTCTTCTTGTTGATTTGTATTCTTCAGTACTGGTTTTAATTCCTCTGAAAATAGTAATATAATATTACGCAATAAAACATTTATTATCATTATCATTTATCAACATTTCTGATCGACATTCATAACATAATATTTCTTTCATCAAAATCATTTAATGTTTCTGTGAAAAATGAAAAAAGACATGAATAAACATCCATAAAAACAAAAAAAGAATATAAAACAATAACCTGGGTCAGCTATTTTTTTCTCGGCGTAATTTGGATTATCCCAGGGCTGCCTATCACTAGACCCTAAGATAAGGTAGATGACGTTGGCGATAGCACAAAGACCTGCCATAATCAAGAATACTATGCGCCACCGACTAATGTCAGTCTGAAAAGAAACAAAAAGTTTAATCTATATATATTGACGAGAAAATCGGTGTCTGCACATGTATGAAACATCTAGCACAGCTCTATACATCTTGTACTATTGCTTCCCACTTAGGTGCGGCTGTGCAAAACCACGTAAACACCATCTAAGCATTTTACAATAACCTGTAATGTAATGGCAGTAGCAGTCCAATAAATGATTTATCTATACTCATAAAATCAAAGTATTTGAAAATTCTAGTTCTAGAATACACAACTATCTGGAACACGGATATACATAAACTATGTTTTAAGTTATTTCTTGTTTCGAATGTATTAAGGATAGACTAAGTAATCTCGATCGAACATCGCAATCGAGTGTAATTGAGCGAGCATAATCGGTATATCGAACAGTATAAAATTTAATATTTTAAGTTTTCATGGTCATTTAAATTATAATGAAAGTTTTCTACGGAATTACTACCATGTTCCATTTTCATCTACTATGCTCATTGGGTTCGCGATATTTCGGCGCTAATGTATGTGCCGTGATCACAAATATTATATCACTACTAACTCGTACCTGGTCATGACACACAAAACCAAAAAAGGCACACATGGCAATCATGGCGCTTGTAACAGCCCCGAATTTCGGGAACTCTATATATACAAGGTATATGGTAGCAATCTAGTAGAAAATTATAGAAAACTATCATTCTAATCAAACGGTATATTTTGCAAAGTTTAAATTAATTATTTTTGTATTTAATTAATCCCAAAAATAATAAAAGTGTTAATAAAAATTTATTTTACAAAATTTTTACTCAATCAGTTTTCAAAGGAATTCAGCTGCCACAGGTGGATGGTTATATGGACAGATGAAAGCAATGAGTGATTTTACAAAGGGTCTGTTTATTTCCCTTTTTAAGCAAGGGTGCCCTCTAGTTATCACAATGTGGAGAGTGTATGTAACTGTCTTTTATCGCTCACCCTTCTTAATATGTATTAAAGTAACTCACAACATTACAATTGAACTTACATACATTATTTATGAATAATACTTACCGAATCATTTCGTAATATGACACTAGTTACTATCGGTGTGAGGGAACAACCACAATTGGCGATGAAATTTAGAATACACATTATAACACCGGCATAATTCGGGGACAGATCCAATTGGTTTACCTAAAACAGACACTCGTTATAAATTAATTTATTGTTTATTGTCGCACTTTCCCTGCGCTTTAATGTTTCCGCAATATAACTTACAACGAAACCCGCTGTGCTAAATCCGTGCATAGTTAAACAAGCAATCAATGTTGCTACAGCGAATAACTTTTGATCAGGACCCAAGAAAGAAAGCACCACTAGCGCAATGGCAATGCCAAACAAAGCTGTTAAAATAAAATATTAATTAAAATGAATGACTGCATCATTTATATTAACTGAAATAATAATTACCTATAAAAATAAAAAAAAGCTAACATATAGATTGGAATACTTTTCTGCAAGCAGTCAAGTTTAACAAGCCTCTGTTGTAGATTTTCTCAGATAAATAGGAAGAGAAGTTATTCCCAAACCACATGCCAATATAAGGCAAGGCTGCAAGTAAAGCACTCTGAAACAAAACAAAAATGAATTAGACCTTTAATAAACGATGATCAATTCAACATGTAGCCCAAAAACTGAGAAACTTACATTCTTCAAAGATATTCCTAACCCCTTTTCTAAGTATGTTGGCATATCTACAAAGAAAAATACGAAACTTATTAGAAATCCACATTGCGGCGCGAGGATAGCCCATACTGGTTTCGATCGTAAAATATGCTTCCAAGGCGTTGGCAGTTTCTGAAATACCAATGCGAACATGAAACGTGACTTGAATAAACACGTTATTTAATTTGAGGTTAAAATTTCATTGTTACTCTTTATCAATCAGAAGCGAAAACAAACTGCATAATTATCTAAACAGAGCTACGAGTAGTTAGGATGAAAGATATAATATATTTTCGAAACTGTGCATTTTCATATCAATTAATCGTATTCTTTAGATACTATGCTCAATTGGGCGTTGGTGACCACTTTATTTAGTTTTGTAATATATATAACAGTGCGATCGCTATTCGTCAGGAGAAGTTATTGTATTGACAGTACTTACGGACGCCGAAACATTAAGACCAGCTTCAATATATTGTTTCTCTTTTTCACTTATCCACCGATGTTTCCTTGGACAACTAGCGCCCAGGAAGTGCCAAATTGCCAAGTTAACAAGTAAGATACCAGATGTCACGTAAAATATAAGCTTCCACCCCAAAGAAGTCTCAGCGAGGTAGCCAGACAAAGGCATTGCAATGATGGTGCCACATTGTATCCCTGTGGGAGCCCAAATTTTTGACATTATTTTGGGTAAATATTAAGCCAGGTTATCGTAAAAACTATGTTTATGTGCTAAATAACTTTGCGACTCTGAAATAAGCCAACAGAATATTTTAGGTATGCGAGAAGGAGACTGCGCATGACAAAACTGACTTACAGAAAGTTAAAGGCACGTATTACGATTTAAGTTTTATTATAACTAGATACTCACCACCATATACAATACCAGTATAATTGGTTCTTTCATTGGCTGGGAGCCACTGTCCTAACAATGTCTGTGTGGAGGAAAATAGGCACGCTTGAGTAAGTCCCATGGTAACTCTAGCCGCACATACTAAAATCCATCCACCCTGCATCAAGTAGATAACGGAAATAAAATATAACGGCAGTTCTAATACAGACACCACTTAGCAGTTAGATTTGAATTGAATTGCCATGACGAGTGAATGTTGGTCTGAGTAGTATCTCGCATTTATTTGAAACATCAAATTTTATCTTATCCTGTATTATAAATTATTGTTTTTAAATTTACGAGAATCATAACTTACCCATGCAGCTAATGTTGGCACTGAAAGACATACTAGTGCATTTGATAATAAAGCCATGAACAGAATCGGTTTTCCACCGAACCTTTTCGCCAGAACACCTGAAGGTATTTGCATCACAACATAGCCCCAGAAGAAAGATGACAAGATTAAACTTTGAGTTTTTTTGTCCCAATCGTACACCTGTATAGAATTATACATATTTCACAAATGTATGCATCTAAAAGAATCACCAATAAGTAACAAATATTATATTACTATAAAGGCATCATAAATTTAGATATCAAGATGAGTCTGCTCTGGATTACTTAATTTTCTGTTATTATGCATATTTTTATCAAATTTGCTATCAGTTAATTTGTATGATAAGGCATATTTCTAGATTAACGAACAAAATATCTCTTTTTATAATCTTTTACTGTAATGGAAACTTTCTTTGTTGTCAGAAGTAATTTTTAATTGAACTTTTCTATATTATATAAAACAGAAAAAAAAGAAGTCCTTGCTGAGTTTCTTGCTTTCTCATTAGTAAATGGTCGATCTTTCACCGCAGTAAGCTTATGGCGCACCTTTTTGTCTAATCTATACTAATAATAAAGCTGAAGAGTTAATTTATTTGTTTGAACTCGCTAATCTCAGGAACTACTGGTACAAATTGAATTATTTTTATTGTGTTGAATAGTCCATTGAATTGAAAATTAAAGGTTATATAATATCACACTATGACTAAAAGGATATAGGAGCAGAAATCAAAAATGTTGCAAAAACGAGAGAATGAAATTGATCCTCTTTAAAAGTTCTAAAACAAAGACAGCATATGTCTATCTTATATCTTATCCCGCAAAAGAAAGCATAACGGGATGAAAATGGGAGTAGAAGACATTAAATTGTTACCATAGCAACCATTGTTTACAATTCAATTTGTAATTGGTATTCTATTCCATCACATTCATTTTAAAATCCGTTATTAAATGATTTAAACTGTTTACGCAGGATTAAATAAAATTTTGAATAATTCTAATTGGTACAATCGTTGTCGTTAATATTAAATAATATTAAAATTTTACGCTGACGCTACTGATCACTAGATGGCGTTACTGTACTTTTAAAACGGGAATTTGGTTTTTGTTATATTTGTAGTCTTTATTTTTTCCGATTTTTATCAAACAAAGTAACTTTCCAATAACTTAACATATTTAACGGGGATTTATTAACAGGGCGAAAAAATTAAATGTTAGATTTAGCTGACGCTACTGATCACTCCATGACACCAGTAGATGCTCACTGGCAGATTTTTAATTAAGATAGGCTTAAGATTCCAGTATAGCAAGCCAGTACCCTCGGACTACGTGGGTGAAGCCGCGGGTTACAGCTACTACTTAAATATAGTGAAACATGTGTTTTTAGTCGGGAGCAGAAGGTTTTCCTAGCCCGGGCCGCCTAATACCTAATGTGTACTAGCTCTAAGCCAGAATTACTATGTTACTCTGAAAATGAAATTTTGTCTATTTTCGAAACGCTAGTATAACTCCAAAGAAACCCGTTTATCGATAATGTACGATTCAGGGAGGACCTGACACTCTCTATGATGCACATATAATCTTCACGGTTTAAGTTTTAACAAAATGATAAGAACGGTTTGAAATATTCCAGATTTACGTTCGTGAACAAATAGTAGAGGCACTTTATTGAGTCAGTAAGAATTAGCAAGAGCTCTCTGTAAACTTACTTCTATACTTGTATTATTTTTTTGGTCAGTGTCAGACATTGCCAGCACCGCTATGCCCATGCTGGCTCGGGCTATGATGAGGCACACCATAGTGAGAGTCATACAGGCCATCTGAAGGTGTCGTATACCCCATCCAAAACCTGGAATATAGAATATCATATATTTATTAAAAAATGGGGAATTATTTTCAATCACAGATGTAACAATTACATAACAGATATTATTTAGTAATAAGTAAAAACTTTTGCAGAGGTTAGCTTTTCTTCAATTAATGTTCAAATATAAAATAGGTATGAAAAATTCTTCGTCGACATGTTCAATAGAATTTTGTCTGTGTTAGCAAGTAATTTTGAAGACTTCAGTAAAATTATATTCTGTCCTGTCATTGTTAGTGAGCGATTGTACATTTGAAGTTTGTCGAAACACAGACCGCGGTTTTCTTACTTCTTTTGTTTCATATCGTTCCTGTCTTTTCATTTCAATTTCTCGCATTTCCATCTTATTCCCAATATTACTGTCAAAATATATTTTGAAGATGTTGCATATCAAAAATAGAAAGTGCTAACGAATGCAAATTCAGCTGGAATGCATAGCTGAACTAAAGCACGGAGGAGCTCAAGAATGAAGAACATTTGGTTGCCAAAAATATAAAACCGCATCTCATCGCTTTTAAAAATAAAGAATAAATTAAAAAATAATATATACTTGAACAGTCATACAGATGTATTCTAACAATAAACATCTTAATTACGTAAGTCTATTAAACGTTTATAAAACACAGATGTAAAACTATTACGTATGTATTCGAGATAAAAACTAAACTGAAGTTGATTCAGTAAATGTTTAAATGTTTCTTGTTTAAACATAAAATTACAAATCATTCATACAAACATCAAAGTGAAGGTTTCAAAATCCATCCGTTATTAGAGTGAAATATTTCCAGTGTGAAGGCTTACGTTGGGAATCATCGTCAGCCTATGTCCTCACTTTTGGTGTGCAAAACTTCCCTATGAATGGAATCGAATAGAGAGAAGGGGCCATGACTGACCACGGGTCTAGAACTGACAGATATATTAAATTATAAACGACGGGTACTAACGCGATAGATTTTAATAATTAGGATTTTCACCTACCTATATCTCTCGACGTTTCGACTAGTACACACCGGCCGTGGTCAAGGGCTAACTGTTTCTGCGATGCGTCTCATCGTCTGAAGTGGAATCCACTTCCACCGTCCAGTTTTTTCCCCAGGTACCGTCACACACAATACTAACGGAATCCCTATTCTGTATCGCAGCCGTATTCTATATCAAAGTCGTATACAATCTAATATAATACAACGCGAATGTTTAAAAGTTCATACTACAGCTGTAGCTGGGATCAATGTTTTCTTCATCGTGATCGCCCTTTTTCCCACTGCAGCTGCTCAGGCCTACTCGGGAACTATGTGCCCGGCTTTACGCGCCTTCCGTAGGACGGAGTAGCTTGAGATAACAATTTTTTGGTCACCCATCCCGTGACCACATTACGAATTTACTTAACAGCCACGATTACGTCCGCGGCGCTTACCTATTACGCCATCGAGCTGCTCGAATTTTCTTTAACCTTCTAAAACTCGAGATAATACATTTTTAGTCACCCATTCACTGACCGACCTAAATGAAAGTTACTCGACTTCAGAAATCTCAAACCGAACGCGCTAACCACTGCGCCGTTGAGCTCCTCGTTGGTGTTACGTTGTTTAAGTGTCAGCAATTACAATGTATATATACTTATACTATACATATCATAAAGAGAAAAGATTAATTGATTGCTTACTTTTCATTGACTAGACTCCGAAAGTACTAGACCTCGAAACATATTTTAATAAAAAATTATGTATATTTTATACACGCGAGTTACAGGAATAGGTGTAAAATGGCGTGCTTAGCCTGAAATCGTATTAAACGTGAAAATACAGCAGGTTTTAAAAATAGATTGAGATCAACATACTCTTATAATGAGTTTGTTTGACACGGCATGTGAATCGAATGACGAATGGTGTTTTTTTTTATTTGAAATTGAAATGAGGTTATTTTTCAATATGACATCTCTATATGAAATAAAACAGCAGCCCTTGCCTACTTTCTTGTCGGTTCTTTTCGGCACAAGATCTGCCGCTGTAGAATTGCGAATCGATGGCATAGAGTTTCTACATTTACAAGAGACTGAGAAAAATAATTTTGATTTGATTTCAGAACAAACACTGACGTAATAAAAAAAATAGCACAGTGGCATAGTAATATTCGATGTGTAGGTTAATACTAGAAGCGCCGAATATTAAAACCCCCTTTGAACCGCCGTTGTGATGATTTTGTCCCATTCTACTTATTACAATGATCATTGGTATAAGTCATGAAGGCTATTCTTAAAAGAATTCATGAATATTCAGAACATGTTTAATAATCATTTTAAAACAAAAATAAAAGTGACAAAACGCTAACTTTTTTAATGCAGCAGTCAATCAGCCGAGCTCGTATTCGTCTTTGAAAGGATTTCGTAAGGATTTTCATGTAAACGATAAGAAAGGCTTTATAATTTACAAACAACTCCGAAAATAATAAAAAAAGTATAGCATTTATTAAAATAAAACTTACTTTTAATTTCGTCAGCTTGACCATCGGTTTTTTCTTGATATTTGCATTCTTCCGTTTTCTTATTACACATTTCTATTGAATTCTCTTCACTCTTTCACATTTAAAACGGTAATGATGTGCTGAATTTGACACGTGCAGAAATTTGCTGTCAATTGTTAGTAGATCTGTTTTGGTTAATCGGAAGCCTTTGCACTACACCTCAAAGTTCAAATTGGATTGTTAACAAGGAGCTACGCAATAAATAATTATCATTTAGATAGCTGAAATAAAATAGCACGGTAGTTGTAATTCATAGTTATAAAAAATACATGGTAATATATTTATGGCATCATTAATTATAACCTCGAACAAAGATAGGGTTCCGTGTATCTGTCTGTTCTAATCGAGTTCTTTTACTTTAAAAGTTTATATCGCTTTGTCGCCTTAATCAATCCATCAATCAATCAAATAAATATTTGTAAAGCTTCTTTATTGTATTCATATTGATAAAGTAAACGGCTTATTTTACAAACAGAATGGAAGAAATAGTGAATGTTAAGAGCGTTTTGAAATTTTTAATTAAACACAATTAATAAAAAACTACAAATTTAACTATATTTTATGACGATATAAATCAAACTTTTTCATTTATAATTTCATACTTAGGAAACATTCTTAAAACCATCACCAGTTCTCAACATAAAGCTGGTTTTAAAATGGAAGCTGATATATCAATAATGTCCATAGCATTAATAGCAATATATAAAGCAATTACATTTTCAATCGAATTTTTTCAGATAGTCAGAGTGCTTTGCAACATATAGCTCGTATAGCTTATAACATTCTAGCAAAGCTTCATGAATGTCATAATAGCGGTAAATGTCTTATACTTCAGCGGGTTCCATCTCACATTGGATTAAGTGGAAACGAAGAGGCTGACAAGTTAGCGAAAGTGACCTCTACAGTTGGAAATGTATTAAGTATTCCTCAATTTTATACAGAATTACTATCAAAATATAAGAAATACATATTTACGACAATTGGAAGCAATGCTTTGATGAACGCTCAACATGCAAAGATATTTGGTATAAAACTATCCACTGTGAGCCTCTTAGAATACCGTGGTTCAGTAACTGTAATTTATGCAGCCATGATATTATAGTCATGCATAGATTTAGATCTGGACACTATCCGACTAACAATTTTGGTTTCTTAATGACAAATTGAAGAGGATAACACTTATTGTTGGAGTGTTACAGAAATATGAGAGAGCGACAAACACTGATGATTACTCTAAAGTTAAACCGACTAGGCATTTTCCAAAGTTTACTGAGTGAACCGTTGGCAACCACAGCAAAACTTATATGTGACATGGTAAGTCACCGATGATTGTTGATCTCTCAACTATTATTTTAGAGTAGTATATTTAGGGTACGATAGGACTGTCATATCTTAAGGATAAAAGTCCTTAAAAAAATTATAAAAAAAAGAACAAAAGAGCCTACTAACGGTAAACGTTTGATGAGTGTGACAACTGACTCTTGTTTTCTTTTATAATTATCGTATATTAAATAATTATTAATATATCAATGAGTTGACACGTCATATGAGTCAATTGACGAAACCTTTTTTTATATTTTGACAGAAAACGAGTTCATAGTCTAATCCTCTGTCAACTCGACATCTCCATGTAATATAAATCACTGCATTCAGGATTCACCATAGTTTGTTCAAATTCTATCAGGAAATGACTAATGATGATAAATAACTGGCTTGTTCGTTCTTGATAGTTATTAGCTCTTAAAAAGCTCTATAACGTAGTGGTTAGCGCTCTCACGTGCAGTGCGATGTGAGTTAAGGAAATTTTGCAAGGGCCGTGCACGGGATGGGTGGGCTACCAATCCATAATGGGCCCACGGATTATGGCTGTTCTTCTTTTTTGAGCCGATGTTTAAAGATACGACTGCTAAAGTCGAATTAAAAATAATAACAGTAGTAAATAATAATAAATACTCTTTATTGCACAAACCATACTAAAATTACATTTCTTCCAGGCAGCCTTACATTGGATGGAAAATAAATGAAACAATTTGTATCATGGCTTGGCTACACAAAATCCTCATTGCTAGCGGTGCGAGACCTCTTAGATTACAAATGTTGCACAGAACTGGTCCCACATTGCAATGAGAGTTTTCGTAAGTTATTATTATTATAAACGGGGATAAAAGTCTTTATGGAAGTTCATCATTATCCAAGATATAATCATGGAACTTTGTATTAAGACAATTTTTTGGATGTACATAAATATTTGTTTTATGATAACTGTATGATGGCAACGAAGTCACGGGTAGATCTTAGTATTATAATGAAACAGTAGTTTTAATGTTTCTTCGAGCCGCAGTTAGTATGTCGACACATTATAAGACATACAAAAGATTGTCTTGTTTACTGAGTGTATGACAGTATTGTGTATTATCTCGTATTTATTCAAATTTTAACTTTATTTTGGGGACATTAAGAAATAATTCGTGTTAGCGATAAATAAATCGATATCTCTGCGTGTTTCGTGTGGTATTATAACTAATTTAGTGTGATATTAGCATGGTGCGATGTGCATTTAAGGTGAAATGGCAGGCGGAAAAGACGGAATAAAATTGGCTCAAGTAAAAGAAGAATCTCTGGATCGTGTAAAAAGTAAGCAATAAAATGCTTATATAAATAATATTTATACTAAGCTCACTCTAGATGAAAATCATTACTAACCTAAACCTGTTAATAATATTGTAGGAAAATCCTTTACCACCCTAAAGTACAAATTCCCATTCGAATTGCGTTCTGAAAAAAAAATAACGAAATTCAAAACGTTTGTCAACAGAATTTATTCAAAGAGTATGGTTTGTCACTGATTATAATATTAACCAACGAGATTAGGAAGGATTTGTTGATATTGTTCTTTGTTTTTTCTGTTGAGTAAATAAGGTTTTAAATATATTTCTTGTATATTACGGTTAAGGTGATTTTTTGACTGACTGTGAAACATGTAGTCTTGCCGAGTTGCATAGAAAATGACCCACGTTTTCCTCGTAAGAGTAGTATAAAATGTCCCTCGAGAGTGATTACTTAAGGCCCTCTTGTAGCTCCGCTTACGTTCCTATACAGATACGCAAACAAATACGCATCGAGAATAAACACGCACGCTTGATTTCGTACATTTTTAATCACAAAAAAAAACAAATGCAGTTATATATTTTTTTTTGTATAATTTAGATCACATTTGTTGGGCTCAATAATGGCGCGTTGGTAGCGTTCCTACTATTAAGCCGAGAGTCGGCTCCCCACCAAGGTCAAACATTTTAAGCTAAGTCATAAAATCCATCCAAAAAACCTATTAATGAAATTTATGTTTCTGATTTTAACAAGTAATCAATCATGTGTTTAATTTTATAAAATTTTATTTTTATTTGCCAAATATTAGAATTACCCTAGAACCCGCGCCTTAACTCGCGTAATTTAAGTGCTTCCACTTGTCGTAGGGTCTCCAATGAATACTCTCCTTGTATTATAAATTAATAATGACGATTAAAAGGTTCCGAAGTCTGCATGTACAAGGGATACATGAGAGATCGAAACATTTGACGGCGTATAGCGTGTGATAAGCCATAGATTATATTACTAGAGCAAATTAAATATTGTTGAATATTAGAAGTAATTTGGTATTTGGAAATTTGGTATTAATTTTTTATTAAGAAAATAATAAATAACGTTTTGGCACAAAAAGTACCTTAAAATAGACCGTGGAATAATATTAATATTTGATATAAATATCAACTTTATACCTCTACGAGTTATTGAGAAAAAGGGTGTTGACAGACGAACAAAGAAGTGATCCTATATAAAGTTCCATTTTTTCCTTTTAAGGTATTGTCTAAAAATAACATATAAATACTAACATTAGGTATATTAATAGACTCTAGCTTAGCTAGATACTAAGTTATTAATCTTCATGTCATATAACATGTCTCAAACTTAAATTACAGATGTAATTTAGGTCTTTTAGACCATGAAGACAGCAACACATTTCTCTGTCGTGTTGTGTAGACTTAGAGTACTCTAAGTGAGTTGGGACGAGCCAAAAGCATGTCGGTTTATTTAGTAAGGCTAGAGACACATTTGTGTATCGCGGCAAAAATATATCCGTTTGTTTCTAATATCTGAAATCACAGACGGCATCAACGGAAACGACACAAAACGACTCATAAATGTATTGACGCCTCATGACGAGGTTATACGCAAAAACCACTTTTTAAATTAATTTTATACTGAGGCTATACCATCGTTTTGTGAATATTAAACACACGATTGATTGCTTGCTAAAAACAGAAACAAAATTTCAATTATTGGCTCGATAAAAAAAATCGCGAAGATGACTCTGAATAAGTTTTTTTATCGATTTTACGCCTAATTAATTTTACCTTAACTACACAGAAATACAAAAATAGGTTTAGATATAATTTAAAGTATATTAATTTTTTTAATAACTGCATTTGCTTTTTTCTGTGAAATCAAACGAACGGGTTTTTACTCTCAAAACGTATTTTGTGTGGGAACTTAAGCGAAGGTACAAAAGGGCCATAAACTATGTTACAAATAAAAATGCCTTTTAGTATGCCAATAACAATATATTATATTCAGTATTTCCGTACACACGGCTGCACGTTAAGTTACAACAATATGACAAATTTTGGAAATGAATTCTACCCTCTATATATTAAAGTTTTAAATCTGATGTGCTGTTGATTGTACATGACGAGTGCGTTCAAAAATATATAGTAGATACAAAATATAATCTATTAAGTGCACGAAATTGAGAATTGTGTTCATTTAATGATATCCGCGTTTTTGGGGGTTCCGTACCCAAAAGGTAAACTACGGGACCCTGTCACTATCGGCCGGTTTCTGAATTGAGAAAAGCGCAAAATCTCAACTGATTGTTCTCAATAATTTAAGTTTTTTTACGTTTCATATGGCAAAAAGTCCTAGTTTTATCAAATTGCCATCAACTGATTAATAAAAAATTATAAATCAGCATTACTGATTTAAACCAGTTAAAACCAGTTGAATGACGTTTAAAATGGCTAAAGCGCGGTTCGAGACGAGCCCAACTTCAAATTCTCAATTCAGAAACCGGGCGTAAGACTCCGCTTGATGAACCGTTATAGTTCAAAAGTTGAACATTTTAACGGTACGATATAT